TCATATTAATCCCCAAGTATTTCACTTTCTTTACCACATTCAATCCTGTCTCATTCTGAAACCTCTCTCTTTCAATCGGTGTTAAGTTTTTCTCTAAAACCTTAGTTTTTAACTTGTTCAATTTAAAACCTGCCACCTGACCAAATTCCTGAATTAATTCTAAAACTCTTTTAGTACTAGATTCTGGCTCCTGTAACGTCAATACTAGGTCATCTACAAATGTCTCAATTTGTACTGTTTAGCTCCGACCTGTATGCCCTTAACCAACCGGTCCTTTCTAATCATATTTAGCAAAACCTCCAGGACCGATATAAAAAGCAGTGGGGAAATTGGGCACCCCTGTCGTGTCCCTTTTTCTATCTTAAATTCTTCCGTAACCACATTATTTACAATTAATTTAGCCTTTTGTTCAGAGTATATTGCACCTATACCATTTTCAAAACCTTGGCCTACACCATCCCATGCAGATTCTTCTTCATAAAACTCCAAGAGATATTATCAAAAGCTTTCTCCGCGTCAACAAATATCAATACTGCTTTGGTGTTTATATTCACTTCTAATTTTTCCAAAATATCAATTATATTCCTCAAATTATCAGACAGGTGTCTTCCCGGGAGAAAGCCCGCTTGGTCTTTATGAATCTCTTTCATCAATATTTTTTCAATCTCTTGGCCAAAATGTCTGCAAAAATTTTGTAATCCACATTAAGTAACGATATAGGGCGATAGTTCTTAAGCTGTCTTTTCAGTCTCTGTTTTCGGTATAAGTGTGATATACGCCTCTTTCCACGATTCTGGTGCCCTTTTCCACGATTCTGGTGCCCTTTTCCCCTCCAGTATTTCATTGCAGACTTCCTTCAAAGGTTGCAGTAACCACTCTTTCAAAGATCTATAGTATCTGGAAGTCAGCCCATCCGGTCCTGGAGATTTGCCCAATTGCATATTTTGTATGGCACCTTCTACTTCCTGTTCAGATATTTTATAGTTCAGCATTAATTTACTTTCTTGAGAGATTTTTTGTAGGCCATTTGTCTTCAAAAATTGGTCTATGTCCATTTCCTTCTGTGGCCCTTGTGTGTATAATTGTTTAAAGTACTCTGGTTTCTCTTCAGATCGTATAAATCTTTCGCCTTTTAATAAATCAGACAATTTCGTTATCCCATCTTTCATTCACTTATTTCCACGACCTCCTCACACCTCCCTTTTTGTATTCCACTTCTGTTAATTATTTCAGCAATTCCTTTCCATCTTCCTCTGTTTTCTATCCTATAATTATCTTAACTCATTCTAACCTTATTTTTCCTTTAATGCTCTATTAACCTATCTGTACTTAATTCCTTATAACATTTCTACTAAAGCCATATAACTTCATTCCAACATTTTTCTAACATTCATTAATTTTACAGTATTTCTGTAAATAGTCTTTAAACTTTTTCCAATCTTCTTCCACCGACTCTTCTCCCTGGTCTCGGATTCTGCCAGGCATTTCCGCCAGTTCCATGTAGTCCATCAACTTCATCTGCCATTCTTCCCGGGTGGGCAAATCTTGTGTCTTCCAATACTTCGCGATGAGTATTCTTGCTGCTGTTGTTGCATACATAAAAAAAGTTCTATCCTTCTTTAACACCAATTGGCCAACCATGCCCAGGAGAAAGGCCTCTGGTTTCTTCAGGAAGGTATATTTAAATACCTTTTTCATTTAATTATAAATCATCTCCCAGAATGTCTTAATCCTTGGGCATGTCCACCAAAGGTGAAAGAATGTGCCTTCAGTCTTGTTACATTTCCAACATTTATTATCGGGCAAATGGTAGATTTTTGCAAGCTTGACTGGTGTCATGTACCACCTATAAATCATTTTCATTAAGTTTTCTCTTAGGGCATTACATGCCATAAATTTCATACCTGTGGTCCATAACTGTTCCCAGTCAGCCATCATTATATTATGTCCAACATCTTGTGCCCATTTAATCATAGCTGATTTCACCGTTTCATCCTGAGTGTTCCATTTCAACAGCAAGTTATACATTTTTTGACAAATTCTTAGTTTTGGAATCTAGCAATTCTGTTTCCAATTTTGATTTGCCACCTGGAAACCAACTTTTTTGTCCAAATTGTATGCCTCCATTATTTGATAATAATGGAGCCAATCTCGGACTTTATTTTTCAATTTTTAAAGCTCTGCAATTTTATTCTGTCTCCATCTTGATCCAGAATTTCCCAATATTTCGGCCATTTGGCCTCCATATTGAGTTTTTCCTGTGCCTTCGCTTCCATTGGTGACAACCATCTTGGGGTTTTCTTTTCTAACAAATCTTTATATCTTATCCATACATTAAACAATGCTTTTCTAACAATATGATTTTTAAACGCTTTATGTACTTTTACCTTATCGTACCACAGATATGCATGCCAACCAAATACATTACTGAAACCTTCTAGGTCCAACACATCAGTGTTTTCAAGTAGCAGCCATTCTCTCAGCCAACAAGAAGCAGCTGATTCATAGTAGAGTTTAAGGTCTGGCAGGGCAAATCCACCTCTTTCTTTAGCATCAGTTAATATCTTAAATTTTATTCGAGGCTTCTTGCCCTGCCAAACAAATCTGGAAATATCTTTCTGCCACTTCTTGAAACAATCCATCTTATCCAAAATTTGTAATGTTTGAAACAAAAACAACATCCTTGGCAGCACATTCATTTTTATCACAGCAATTCGGCCTAACAATGATAACTTCAAATTTGACCATATTTCTAAATCCTTTTTCACTTCAATCCAACATTTTTCATAATTATCCTTAAATAGATTTACATTTTTAGCAGTCATGTTAACCCCTAAATATTTCACTTTCTTAACCAATGTTAGTCCTGTCTCTTCCTGAAACTTCTCTCTCTCATTCACAGTTAAATTTTTCTCTAAGACCTTAGTTTTCATCTTATTCAGCTTAAAACCTGCTACTTGCCCAAATTCTTGAATCAGTTCCAATACCCTTTTTGTACTAGATTCTGGTTCCTGTAGGGTCAATACTAAATCATCAGCAAATGCTTTCAGTTTATACTGTTTAGCTCCCACTTGTATACCTTTGACCTCTTGGTCCTTTCTTATCATGTTTAACAAAACCTCAAGGACCGATATAAAAAGCAGTGGAGAAATTGGGCAACCTTGTCGTGTCCCTTTCTCAATCTTAAACTCTTCTGTCACTACATTGTTCACAATTAATTTTGCCTTTTGTTCTGAATAAATTGCACCTATACCATTTTCAAAACCTTGACCTACCCCCATCCCCTGTAGATTCTTCTTCATAAAGCTCCAGGAAATGTTGTCAAAGGCTTTCTCCACGTCCACAAATATCAAGACAGCCTTAGTATTAATATTCACTTGAAGTTTTCTAAAATATTAATTATATTCCTCATATTGTCAGACAAATGTCTGCCCGGGAGAAAGCCTGCTTGATCTTTATGAATTTCTTCTACTAACACCTTTTTTAATCTTTTGGCCAAAATGTCTGCAAAAATTTTATAATCCACATTTAGCAGCGATATGGGGCGGTAGTTCTTAAGCTGTGTCTTTTCAGTCTCTGTTTTCGGTATAAGTGTAATGTAAGCTTCCTTCCACGACTCTGGTGCCTTCCTTCCTTCCAATATTGCATTGGATATTTCATTACAGACTTCCTTCAATGGTTGTATTAACCAATCTTTCAAAGATCTGTAATATCTTGAAGTCAAACCATCTGGTCCTGGAGATTTACCTAATTGCATGTTCTGGATAGCCCCTTCCACCTCCTGATCCGTTATTTTGTAATTCAACATTAGTTGTTTTTCCTGAGATATTTTGTATCGTCCATTTATTTTCAAAAATCGATCAATGTCCATTTCTTTCTGCTTCTCCTGTGTATAAAGTTGTTTAAAATACCTCTGGAAACACTTCCTAATCTCCACTGGGTTCTGTATATTTTTTCCTTCCACTTCCAAATTCGTGATAGTATTGAGTCTACCATCTTCTGAAGCAGTCTGCTCCACTGTTGAACAGCTCTTGGAGACAGAAAGCTCTTCCTGATGTTTAGTCGGAATCTCCTTTTTTGTAACTTAAAGCCATTTGTTTGGGTCCTACCCTCCAGAGCTGGAGAAAACAAGCTTGCTCCATCTTCCATGTGACAGCCCTTTAGATATTCGAAGATGGCTATCATATCTCCTCTCTTTTCTAGGCTAAACATACCCAACTCCCTCAACTGTTCCTCATAAGGCATAGTTTCCAGACCCTTGATCATCTTGGTTGCCCACCTCTTCACATGTTCCAGCTGGTCAGAATCTCCTTTCTTGTAACTTGTAGCCATTAGTTGAAACTCCCTTAACCGAGACTCCTAAGGCTTGGTTTCCAGACCCTTGATCATCTCGGTTATCTTCCACTGCACGTATTCCAGCTTGTCAATATCCTTCCTATAATGTGGCACCCAGGACTGGACACAGTACTCCAGGTGTGGTCTGACCAAGGCAGAATAGAGTGGTACTATTACTTCCCTTTAATATACTATGACAAACTAGCCCAATTTGGCTTTCAACCATTGCGCTCATGTCCCGATTGCACATTTCTCACAGGTACCTGGTTGACCACTAGTACAGGATGCTGAGTTAGATGGGCCTTTGAACTGAACCATCAGGGCTCTTGTGGTTGTCTTGTACTCCAAGTTCATGCTGTTCAATGTCACTTTAACTGTCAAGATATTCATCTTGGGACTTGTAGGCTAGCACTGTGCAACAGGTCTCTTCCCCTTTTTGTCCCCTTCCTGCCCCTCAAGCCTGTGGAGCAAATTTTTAGGGTGGGATGGGAGCTGCAGAGGAGGGGGAAGTTGTGTTGCCCAAGTGGAAGCCTTTTGTGCAGGCAGAATGGCAGCATTAGATAATACAACCCACAGTTTTTAGTTTGAAATCCTGAAAATTCTCAGCTGGAAATCAGAACACAGAAACACCCAACTGAATTTCGGCCATCAGGATTTGTTGGTCAGAGGAAACGGCCTGAACCGACTTGAAAGTTGTGTGAGAGAAAGAAGAATCCTGCTCTTGAGACCTCATTGTCTTTCTTGCACAAGAGGTATTCCTTTTATTTTTCTTTATTTCATTTTTCCATTTCATTTGCCTTCAAGGCATTATGTAGAGTTCAAAAAGCATGTGCTGCATGCCGATTGAATGTTTGTGAGTTGGGGAGTGGGAAGCTTTCTGCAGGAAACGTTTAACTTGAAAACAGTATTGTCATTTCTTATACGCGTTAGCTTGGTATTATGCTTCTGGTAAACAGTTTTAGAATTACTTATGAAGGTACTTGAATGAATGCCTTAGCACATTTTAAATTATTTACCAACTTTAAATAATATGTATGACAGAGAATAGTGAACAACTAGCAAATCAATAGCAAAGCAAGTTATAAATTTAGTGTGGCGCACAAAACACATCAACTCAGAAATGTATAAATGGAAGTTCTAGGCTAGAAACATGAAGCTCAAAAGCAGAACTAACCATATCACCCAAAAGTGATTATGATTGGCACTGGAGCAGAAACCCAATAGATCTAATGGGGAATATTAATTTGTGGAAGTGGTGTTTGTTTTGAGCTAGCGCTAACTCTCCTTTCATATATAAGGCTGTCTTCTAGGTTAGTGCCTTTCAGAATTAACACACAGTATTATGTACTGCTGCTAATTATTCCAAGTTGAATTTGCAAGCATTCACTTTGGTCTTTTCATCTCTTCGCATCTCCTAAGCAGAATGACATCCCGCTCTAACAGCGTCTCCCTGAAGTAAAAGCCCCAAGAAGGTCAGAAGAAAAACAAAGCATGTTAGCCTAAACGAAAATGAAGATAGGGAATTAAGGAATCGCTTTCTTTAAAAACAACAGCCTTGCAGCTTAAGCTGTAACAGACATGAAAGAGCAAGAGAACAAGATGTTCACCTATGTATTTACGAAGAGAAGAATCACTTTCTTTCCAAAGGGATTATTTATTACAGTCCCAGAAACTGCCGTGATGCACTGACTGCTTGACACGGTTATAGAAAATCAATGGGATTCAATCTGAGAAAGTTGTGTTGCATACATTCAAACCTGACAGTTGCATAAATCAGTATTTCAGGCTTTTTTTCTTTTTCTTTTTGAAAACCATCAACTCTAAATAAAACTAGATTCAATTGTATACTTCCCCCCTCCTTCCTTTAAGGCTGAGGTTGTGACTGATATTTCATTTTTCTTCAGAAAGGCCTCTATTACCAATTGGCATTCAGCTGCCCTGTATGGCTGAGTGATGAAAGATCTTTCTCTCTTTATATATATAAAAAAATCTGATTAGGGAACCTGTCTTCAAAGCATTTTCACTTGTTCAGATTTCTCTGTTTTAGAGGACACTGAGGTGAAAACTTCTTCTAGAGGAACTGCACAGTTACAGACATTCCTTCACCTACGGGTAAACTCAATTCCCTCAGATAGCCTTTGCCCTTTCATGTGGCAAAATACTATCTTGTCATTTCAGTATTTTCTTTGTACTATTACGGTAGCAGAGAGAAGTACCACAAATGCGATGCTATTTTAAGCTTAACCGTATACTTAAACCCATAGACGCATGGTCCGATATTAGTATTTTCCAACTAACACTGACCACAATTGCTGCCATCTTATACATAATGCAAACTTGCTGCTATGTCAGCATATTCCTTGCTTTTACTACTGCTTCCCCAATTTTATGATTGGCCATTTGACATGATTACAGTGTGTAGATCAATGTCAATAGCTCTCACGGTACCAGATGAGATTGTGTGACATATCTAATCGAGGGTATGTGCTTGAATGCTGATATTTTTTAATACTGGCACAAATAAATATCAAGAGCAAACACAACGACATTTTTAGACTTTATAAACTAATTCAAGTACTGTAAAGGGATAAACATGTACAAAAATATGCATATATGTTTTTTGTAAACAAAGCTTGCGTAGAACTTTCACAGTCAGATGAGATACGTGAAATCTTAATGTGACATATATGCTCAAGGGATCTGAACTGACCAGGAATGAGAATTTGGGCTCAAGGCAAATAGCTCAATGAAGATGTTGACCAAGCGAGCAGAAGTTTTGAAAAAGGCAAAAACCATGCTAGTGTCACAATTAAAATGTACCTTATATTTTCAAATGTGATTTGAGTAAATTTGGCAGTGTTAATAAGCAGAACTAGAGACAACCTAGTAAGTTAACTTTTGTTAGACACATTTATACTTACCATATAATGTTTTCAAAGAATGCTTTTATAACATGTATCTGACCTCTTTATTCTATCCTTTATTTTTTATTTTAATTTTAAAGAGTAGTAAATAAAGTTGTGTTTTTAACTCAGTTAACCTGAAAACATGTGATCTTTGCAGGGCAAAATGTATCAGCTTTAATCAGAAATAGTTCAAGCCTTAGTGACTGCCTGGGTGGGTGTGAATGGGTTTTGCTTACAGGGAGGCTAAGAAGTAAAGAAGAAGGTTTAATCTTGCTAGGATATTAGAAAGATTTGCAATGTTGGCCATCTGGATTTCTGCTACTTTAAACTTTGGGCCTATGGAAATGCACGTTGTCCCCATGCAGAGAGCAATACTGAGACCATTCAAACTGGATCTTGGAATAGAACAATGCCGTTTTCATATTCCATTTGGCTTTCTGGATTTTGCGTGTTTAGACCCAGAGACCTCCCCCTTAAATAAACACACATTTGACTCAAATTTTAGTTTTGGTTTTTGGCAGAATTTAGGCCACAACTTTATTGATTACAGAAAAGTGAGTGGTTGCATAGGCTCTGGTTCAACTAGCTCCCTACACCCTTGCAGGTAGTGCTGATCCAGGGCACCAGCATAGGTCAGCCAAGGGTGAACACCTGAGGTAGGTGAAAAGCCCGGGAACAGACTCTGTCCACTCCCCAGATGCTCCCCTGGACTCCGGCACGGGCACAACCCCCTCTCGGGGGTTGACCAAACCAAGCTGAGTCCCTGGATTCCTTTAATGGAATACCCTTCATATAGGGATGGTGAGACCGTTCCCCGATCCCTATCACCTGAACCAGTGCCTACCTGCAACCTTACAAGTTGTGACAAATTGCTACATGGCAGGCGAAACCCAAATGGCAACAGCCAATCAGCCAAGTGGGGAAAATTCCTGCAATGCCCCTGTCCAAATGACAGATGACACACGACGGCATATCAAGGTCAATCACAAAATGCCCTAAAAATAGGGAGAGGTGGGCGGGTGTTCCGAATGCACGAGCCGAAAGAGGAAGCTCTAGGTCACGTGCAAAGGTATATATAGGTCCCTCAATCCGTTTAGACTGCACCCCATTGGCCAGATTAAACCCAACAATGAGGGACCTACCAATTGGGTGTTGTGGCTGTCCAATATACCCACCCACAACCAGGAGGTCAGTCTCCAGGTCTCACCGCAACACGTGCCCTCTTTTAGGGAGGACACAATCTATGGGAAAGAACTTTCGTTTCCCAGAATATGCAACTATAAAAAAGTTTTTTCTCAATACCAATTGGGAGAAGGCGACATGGGACAGAAAAGCCAGAGGTGGGGGAAAATGAAGAAACAAATGGAACAAGAAGACCAGGAGGAAGAAGCCAATTGGGGAATTGATTACAATTCAGAGAAGACTTTAACAGCAGAAATCCAAGGCAGCAACATGTAACTTCAGGCCTCTCTTTTTCGAATTTTTGCCTGGCACAGACAGACATTTGATTGTTTTTGCCTGGCCACAGAGCTCCATGAGGAAGAAGGAATAGTTTAAGCAAATTCACTCATTAATGCCATGCAGAAAGACACCTTCAACATTTATAAATTTTCTAGTATTGCTGTAGAGGGCCAAAAGTACGGCTACAATACTGTTCTGACCACGTTTTAATGTCCCAGTGCCCATTTTGACATCCCAAAAGGAATGTGTTCTGTGACAAGGCCTGCTTGCTTCTTATCAAGCGCTCAGAAACTGTAGAAACTGATGGGTCATTTGTTAGGGCCAAGTATGCACAGGCTGAACACTGAATTTGCTGTAAAAAAAGAGGAGCACTTGAGAATAGATCGGTGCTTAGAATTCTAGACAAAGGGCTGAATGAAAGAGCACAGCTAACAGAGGACTTAACCGTTCACAAAGTCACACAGATGACGGTGCAAACTGTGTTGATCGGAACACAGATTAGGGAGCAAAGGCAATTTGGGGATGACCTCTACTCTGCAAAACAGAAGAAGCAGTTTCAGCAGCCATTTTGGAAAGAGCAAAATCACTCTTCATGTGTCTGTAAAAGCAGAACAAAAGAAAGCCGCAGCAAAAAAAAAAAAAGCAATTTAAAAAGCACTCTGCAGCGAAAAGGCCTTCAGAGAAATGCACACATAATACCTGAAAGCCTTTGTGGTGTGGGTGTTTGAACAGGAACTGGGAGACCAGGGTTCAAATCCCCATTCAGCCAAAAAGCACTGGATGATACTGAGCCAGTCACCTTCTATCAGCCCAACCTACCTCATGGGTTGCTGAGGGGATAAACTGAGGGAGTGCATTTATGGCATCGTCAGCTTCCTGGAGGAAAGACGGGTTATAAATGTAATAATAAATATTTTTTAAAAAAACAAATATCAAGCTGACCTTCTGGGACTCTGCCTAAATAATTACGTTATATTGACAGTAATTGTACTATTCTGCTCAAGTTATTCAGAAGCATTGGAGGATGTTAGAGACTTCCAGCGGAAACAGGAGTGGAGATTGCTGGTGTTTGCTTATTTCTCCCATGGACAGAACAGAAATCCATCCAAAGAATATGAGCATTATTCATTGTTGTTCTTTTCAGTCCACAAACAATATGTACGTAACTGATGATCTCCACAACTTTTTCCATTGTATTTCCTTTGGAGTGAGTGGTCTGGCATAGCATGATAATAACAATTCCAACACAGGTGTTTTACATACATTCTCTCAGAAGCCAAACTGTAGTGAAAGGAAAACAGTGTTGCATGTCTTGGGTCAGAACAGAAATCAAGGCCTTCTTCCTTCTGTAGAAGCCTTTGAGATTTAGCGATGAAGGAATTACCATGAGATGTTTCCACAGTGGTCATTAATTTAATTGCTGTTTCTTTAAATGAAAGGGGGAATATATGTGAATAGTGCCCCTGTATGGTTTATATGGCCGAGAGGGCTCTCAATGGCTACTGTCCATGATGGCTCTGGTCTACTTCCACAGCTGGAGGCAGCTGTGCTTCTGAGTACCAGTTGCTGGAAGCCACAGGAGGGCAGAGTCTCCTTGTGATCCTGCTTGGCTTGCTGGTTTTGCACAGGCATCTGGCTGGGCACCATGAGAACGGGGTCATGGACTAGATGGGGCCAGTGGCCTGATCCAGCAGGCACAAGATGGAAATGGAATGAGTTACATCTGGTTTCCTCTTACTGTTCTATTCTTGTTTAAGAAATGCAACAAAGTTATTGCCATGTTTCCAAGTGGTATGCCCTCTTAGTCTTCCATGATACTGTCTGCTCAGGCTGGATCTTGAGCAAAGGTCTCTGCCCACTCTCCTGCCTGAGTGATTCTTAACTGGAGTTGCTAGAAACTGGGGTTTCTGAATGCACAACGTTCACAGTGCCACAGAGTCTCAGGAGTCAAAACCAGACAAATTGACTTTCTACAGATGTGTATATGTAGCAGTGAGACATTTCTAATCTTATTGACCATCTTGATCCTAAAGGAATACCTTCAGAAATATTTAAAGTCCTAGCCCTTGGTGTTCAAGAAACAGATAACTAAGAAATGAAAGACATAGACTATGTTGTTCATCTGAAAAGTCAATACTTCACTAGAGATAATAGACTGTCTTTCACTAATTCTCCTTCAATGCAAATTAAAGTGACCTCAAGCTTAAGATTTATAGACAAAATAAGACTACAGTGAACATTGTCAGGCTAGGCAGA